TATCCACTCTGACCAGAAAGCGTCATTTGACCAATGAACAACCGTTCATAAAGTCGTACTTTTGTTATTGTCACGCTTGCATGAGCATATATACTTGGTTATAGGTTAATACCTACTCTGAATTTAATTCAATCAAACTCAATGTTAGTCACTTAATCATTCGATAATTCATTCATTTCCTTATATATATCATCCCCTTTCAGCAATCATATGTCATTTCCCTTTCGCTTCGTAAGCCTGTGGTTTTATGATCGGAGCGGAGTGACATTAGACTTCAACATTTTGTAATCATCCTCTGAATTGTACACACTGTTAAGCATTATTTAACAACCGTATTAAGGATAAACGCAATACGAAATTTACGAATTTATCAAATATCCGCTGTTAGAAGTCCTTACCTCGAGCCCATGTATACACAACCTTTGGGACAAAGCATCTGTGTTTAAACTTGTAAAGTATAATACAAAACCCTGGACAACTTCCCCATGTAGTATGCAGTGATATTGGAAAGCCTTCTCTAAAGAATACACACGGCAGATGGATTACATGCATTTGTAATGCATCTTAATGAAGTTCTGGTTTGCACTAGTTCAACAGCACGCACGAACTCACACCCTGCTGAAACATATTCTAAGTTGCCTGTTCTATTTGTCCCCCAACTCGGCTATATATCTGTTTGAATTTCCACCTCAAAGTAGCTGGGTCAGTCAAAACTGTTCAGTTGTAGCTGCCTCACATGAACTCACTATGGTAACATAGCGAATCGTAACTCAGGCCTCACCTTCGGCTGTTTAAATTCCAGTGGCCATGCACCTACTCAACCTGAGAAACCGTCATCCTGTTTAGATTACATATAACTGAATATATGCCAATAATTTTTGGAGTTCTTCATTACCTATTATCAGTTTACTGTTCTCTTACATGCACTCTATTAACAAATCACTGATTCCGTCTCATTGTCCATTTCCCTAATGATAACCATATTATTCTTACACTTTCTCGCTTGCTTTATTAAACATCTTTGTGCCACTACATCCTAAATGCTAATAGTTTGTTTGGAAACCTAAACTTCTGGCCGTAACAATATGCAGTGCTGAGTGATTCCTAACCCATGGTTCATGAGTTGTAAAATCGTTGTAATATGGAGCTTACAGGAAGCGTTTCTCAGCACGGCCTCAAGTATGCTAAAACATATTGTCTTACGATCACTTTAAATGAACACAACATCACCATAGGGAAAGTGTCGGAAAACCGAATAGCAAACATCGATGAAGAGGGCAATGACTTCAGTCTACCTCTGTGTATAAGACAGAACATTTTATTCGTTTATCATTTTTGATTGAGGATGAGGCGGCTGTTTAACGCCTACGCGCATATGCATCCTATTCGCTTCAATATTGATCTCTTAAATATCACGATGACTCCGACATTTTCCTGTGTATACATATGAACATTTTAATCTTATTAACACACTCGCACATTCATGCGCTAGTGTGCCTGCCTGGTCTGCTTGTGGTCTGCTATCCCTATTTTTGGTGTGTCGAAAATAAACGTATTCAATACTTCGAACTCATCTTCTGATTTATAACCATCAGACGCTACTTTGTAACGATTGCCTAGACGAGCTAATTGCGAAAATTAAGAATATGCGGAAATTGGCCACCACAACTCTACTCACTGGTTCGATCTACACTGTTCAACTGTAAACTGGTTGATTAGAACGCACACTCTATTGACTTACCATTGATCCCTTAGTGTTATCTATTGCTCCACTTTTAACCGCAATACTCTTTATATCTCCTGCTTAGCTAGTTAAGTTCATCTCCCCCACTACATTCTAAACACTTACATCTTGTTCGAAAATCCGTACTATTTCTCCATAACTGTTAACTGTATTGCATTGATGCCCAACAAATAGTTCATAAGTTGTAACAGCCAGACAAGTTTACGAAAGGAACTTGCAGAAATAATGTTTCTCAGCAGAATGTGAGACAAAGAGCGCCAAGTATAACATAAAATAGTTTCTTTTATTCATTTAACATGAACCTAACAACACAAAAGGAGGGAGGGTTGAGTTACTGACCAGGAAAAATTGGTGGTGTGGGCGATGATTTCAAACCACCCATGTTTGTGGGGCGGAACATTTTGTTTGCTTTCGGCTCTTTGATGGCTCGTGATTTCAAAACTATGCTGAGGTCGCTATTCTGTCGAGACACTCGCAACATTCCTACTCAGGCGCTTACTGTATGACTTAGAGGTTGGCATCCAATAAAAAAAGCAGTTAGACAGTGAAAATTTTGAATTATCTTGACTTACTACTGTATTGACTACTTCAACATTACAGGGTAAGTAGTGCTTTGGTTATATATACACTTGCCACACTGCTGCCTTTTTCTCCCTCTCTTTTGTCCTTTTCCGAACCCCATACACGGTGGGACATCCTTGACGCCTCTAGGGAACATGCACCCTATGTACATGACTGTCTGGATCACAGCTCGTATCAAGCGCGTTCCATTTGACCTTTCCCAACAAATTCACTATTGATCTCGGCAAATCGCCAAAAGAACGTATTGTGCACCTTCCTTATTTGTACTCTACTATTGAAAATGTGGCTGTATTATACTGTTTCTGTCAGTGACATGGTGTAAATATGCTATCAGAAACTGACTCTTAATTTAGCTGCTATAACTTTTAAAGGAAATGTGGAAGCATTTGTGACAATTTGATCTAGCCTATAAACTGGAGTGACTCTTGTAAGGTAGTTATTCGAGAATAAATGTATTAGTATTAGTATCAGTTTTACTGTCCTCACTTACACTCTATCGGCTTACCATTGATCCCTCAGGGTTATCTATTGCTCCACTTTTAACCGTAATACTCTTTAAATTTATTGCTTAGCTATATAAGTACATCTCCCCCACTACATTCTAAATGCTCATATGTTGTTTGAAAATCCGTACTATTTCTCCATAAATGTTGCGGAAAGTAGATCGCCTACGGAACAGAATAGATGAAGACACTGGCCTCGTGTAAAGTCACAATTATTAATTACCGGTGGAATACTGAGGGTATCTTTATCTATGGTAATGAAACACATATGTAGTAGATCACAGCCTGTCTATTCGATGCAAGCTCGAGTAACGCCTATGTACTTGCAACAGTTACTAACATTTTAAACTAAGACCACTTTTTCATCAGATACGAACCCGCCACTGTCAGATAGATCCGGTGTTACGTGTGCATAATGAAAGCCCGAAAGGATCAGAAACTACCTTGAGAATAGAAAGTTTCGTACCAAGGTAAATAGAGGGCAAGCGAGCTGGAGATTATCCACATCGGGAGTTTCACAAGGGACCGTCCTGGGCCAACTTCTCTTCCTGATATTTAGTAACGACCTGTTAGGCTTAGTTAGCTCACCGGCATTGATCTACGTAGACGATGTGAAGATCTGGAGGTCCATTAGAAGCGAAGAGGATTGGACTGAGCTCCAAAAGGACCTTACATCTATTGAGAAATGGGCAGTGAAAAACGGTTTAAAACTCAACCAACCGAAGTACCACGTCATGCATTTCCTGCCTCACACGACGCAAACGATCTATACATTCAATGGACAACCGCTCCCTAATGTCTCCTCAGAGCGCGATATCGGTTTAATAACCACAGAAAGCCTCCACATGAGTCCAAACTATGTACGGGATGCAGCCAAGGCAAATGCGACTCTTCACTTTATGCGAAGACAATTTGGTGCTATCACCCCGAAATTATTTTTAACCTTATTTAAGACGTACGCGCCCCCACAATCCGAGGTTCACAATGTCACCGCACCCCCTCAGCTTAAAAGAGATATAAATCTCTTTCGATCGAGTGCAGAGATGAGCAACCAAATGGGTGATAAGGTTAAAAAATAAACCCTACGACGATAGTCTCCAGCTCTTAGGATTATTTTTACTGAGCTACAGGAGAATCAGAGGTGATCTGATCGTGGCGTACAACAAATTAAGCACGCCAAACCATCCCAATGTGAGCATCTTACCGATGCATCACCACCACTACCTTCCAGGCAATCCTCGAAAGATTACACATCGAAGAGCGAATACTCAGATTCGTGCATACTTTATCTCATTGAGAGCCGTCGCAACTTGGAATGCTCTCCCAGCCGAGATAACCACAACCCCCTCAGTAGATAGCTTTAAGAAGAGACTTGATAATCACGTACTCACATACGGACTATCATCCCCTCTTGGACAAGCTGTTCATGATTCATCTTTTGATACCTACTGGTTGTTATCATTGCCATCTCCTCAGATCACTTACTTAATCTATCTCGCCTATTATCTCTGTTTCCTCTCCCTTGCTCACACTACGGTCCTCTCTTACAATCTTCACCACCAATTAACAAACTTAATTCACCCATATATTACTTAGTTCTGAAATTAAATTCATATTAGCATTAGAATTTTATACTTGTTATCCTTATTACTCTCCACATTGCAACTAACCGATCTCCTGTCTGGTAATGTGATAGCTGCTGGTATCCAGAAACCCTACTGCCCTGAAACAAACGTCATCATTCAAATCTCGAGACCTACAAACTCACAACCAACTGCCAACCGACTAGAATTAGACAGTCGTGTGGCTGAAACCCCATTTATTGGATACTACCAAACACCTGGAACCGTACCGAAAAAACAAGAATCGAGCGCGAAGAAATTAAATTGGTTTACATTAGCTCGTGAAAAAGATATTGGATATTGTTAGCCCGAAACCATCCATTATGGCTAACTAGGAACTTTCCGAATTAAATAGTTGTTATTCAACTTTGTTAGTCAGATAAGATGACTAAATGTGTATTACATTTGTAAACGCACGGTAGATGACGACCGAAACATATCATTTATATTACTAATTGCTTGTAATGCTCTTACCTTCGTGTTGTGCTGCAAGCGCTGTATAATATCATTGGAGTCTGAAATCAGGCTATCAGACTTAGCGCGGTGGAATTAAAACCAAATTTGTATTTGTCTTGATTTAACCGCTTATCAAAAAGCCTATGTGCAACTTCAGCCGTTGGTTGGTGTGCTTTCAACCCGAAGGTACCTTGTGTGCTGGGGGGATGTGAGCAGTGGTGTATGAGATTATTTGGAAGAAGAAAGAATAAGAGCAAAAGATGAGCCGACGACTCAGTAAGCACATAGAATGCACTCACATGCAATTTACGAATAAATAGACAGCAACCAGATATAAAGCTAGCGTGAGATTAAGACAAACTGATAAACCAAACTAGGAGTAGATAGAGTTATGTTTCAAATGCGTTACATATGAACTGTCGAAGTGACGCGCCAATCACTTTAATAGTTTGACCTTCTAGTGCCCAACAACCTTGGGACCTAATTTGGTCGCGGCGTGTGAGTAAATTGTAGTTCTCTATGATGAGGTGTTTTGTTTGATCATAATTCCTTACCTAATAGCTTGGAGTATTTTGTTTACCTGGTGGTCTAATTTTTGACCAGAAGTATTTTTATCTCCACGAAAATTTTCAAGCAGTTTGTCTAGTTTTGCTGATAAGTACGAAATGTACCATCACCTCTTATATTTGACAAAGTCCTTTAATATGGTTGCTTGAAAATTCACCATATTTGACTGTTCTAATAGTTTAAAGCAATCTCGCTGAACGTTCAGGCTCAGTACAACAACATGATCATATGTGGCATTTTGAAATCGCAGACAAAAGTGGTAAACAAAACAATAATCTCAAAATTAAGTGATACTCAATTCAATCCAACTACTCCAGTCACTTAAGGTTTATGATTCTGTTAGCTCCAGTTTTCCTGGTACCTTACGTTTAGTAACAGCTCTCATCTCATCTTTGCTAAATACTGTCATTTGAGTGCTTAATGTAAATATTGGAATCTGTAAATGGTAAATCACTTTCCAGCAAGGCGGAATAGGAAATGAAAATACTTGATCAATAACGTCACATGAAGGCTTCACAGATCGTTGGTTTGGATTAGCCATTTTCAGAATGGGGTAGTCATTGAAGTGAAGATCTTGGAATAGGCGATAGGGAAGTCGAATAATCAATTTCAAGAACAGGATTTTTTTGTAAGTATGACCAGTGGCATTTGATCGGGTTCAGACTAAAAATACTGAATAATAAACCAAACGATTGGAATATTGGACTTTTATTAGGGTGGTTTGTAACAAGAGTAATTATATAGAGGTTTATTGACCTGCCCTGTTTCCGTTTTGTTATGCATCTCAAATTCGCTAAAAGTAAAAAACAAAAACTTGACACCAATATCATATTAATTTTGTTTATAGATACTGAGTTATTGAAGTTTAACCGGAGGTCAATTAGACTTCAACTAGACAAAATGGATGAACTAGACATCAGTACTTCAGAGCACTGATTGGTGAGGTAGGAACTTTTTGCCCCAGACCCTCATTAATATTACTTTGTGGTCCATGTATATTTATTGGACTGTTTCTCTTAATGTCAGAAAAATCAACAAGTTGCATTCAGTTGCTTTCCAGTCTTAAATTCAGGTTTGAAAATGTAAACATTATCGATATACTTGTTGAATGTTAGTTTGATTCGGTTACTCAGTCTTTCTAAGTCCAAGGTTTGGTCTTTTTACAATTCAATAAAACCTTAAGGTAATGGATTACTACCTTGATTTGACTCATTTTTTGGTCTTATTTATTCCTTATTAAGGTAGTAATTACAGTTGTCCTTTTTCTTCACTCAATACATATCTGCTTACGTTGCCACAATAATCCTTTCAGTCATAAAAAAATTCTGAGTGATTGTAATTATTTGAAGTAGTAGCAAATCAATAATCTGTTTTTCTCACCCTTGTTCTCTGAACTTCTAGCGTCCTAAACCCATTATCCATTATAGTTAAAACAACTGTTTTCTGTCATCTGTTGTCTCGTATTTCTTTATTCTTTGCCCCTACTTTCTTCATTCGCTTACGACATATTGAGAACGTTTTGTCAGCTATCTTATTTAAAGCACTCCAGGATGAATTTCTGAGTGTTGATTCAAAGGAAGCTGCGGGGATAAACCTTTACTCACAACTACACAGGTTGATTAAAATCATTACTACTGTCTGAAACAGTAGTTTTTATGTATAGCTCCATACGATTTTGAGCCATGTGATTCAAGGTCTCTAACCATTGGTGACTTTCGTCTCGCGGACCTCAACCAGGTAGTCTGCATCTACCAACATGACTCAGTCCAGTTGTTAGTGACTTCATGCATTTCTGCCATGTTTTGGTCTGACCGCCCCTAGCTTTCTTCCAATCTACTCCTACACCACAAAATATAGCTCGACGAGGCAGTCGGTGGTTATGCATACGTAACAAATGTCCCAACCACCTCAACTGATGAAGTTTCAATATTTCGTCTATTGATCTGCTATCCTCACCTAGCACCCGTTTCCTAACTTCAGCATTGTTTACTCGGTTGTCCCACGATACACGAGCAATGCATCTAAGACATTTGTGATCGAATACTAATAACGTACGAATATCGTCTACTCTTACCGGCCATGTTTCGCATCCATGTAGGAGAACGGAGCGAACTTCTGCACAGTACACTCGACCTTTGGTTAGCAAACGGATATCTCTCCTTCGACATAATTGACACAAGTTGGCAAAAGCCAATCAAGCTTTCTGTATCCGTGCTGAGAATTCGTCAGTCACCAGGCCATCAGCGCTGATGAAACTACGAAGATAAGTGAAGCGGTCTACACGCCCGACTGCTCCACTCCCTATCACTAGTTCGGGTGCCGACGCAAGCCAGTCTTGAAGCAAGGCAGGATGAGCTCTCGAGCATCCATCAGTTCGGTGGATGCTACTGAAATCCACGGCTTCTTCCTAGACTTATGGTTTACTTTGCAAGCAGATATCACTGTCGTTTCCACAGCTTTTTTCATATCATTCCAACCTCTCTCTGGATGGGGATAGCTTACATCGCTGCCTAACTGTTTTCCTAGTTGTTTCTGAAATATTTCCTTAGCTTTATTATCATTAAGTAGAACCCCAGGAGGTTTCCTTTCGGTATCTTTCCTACAATCTAGTAAGACGCAAACAAATACGCGCTCGCATTAGGGCATGATCTGAATCTATACACGTGCCCCAGAACGAGCGACAGTCCTCTATCGAACCCCTCCTTTGGTGGTTGATGGCGATGTGATATATTTGTGTCCAACTTTTAGACGACTTACTGTCCCGTTCAGTCGGACAGAGCAAAAGCGACTGTCTATCGGAATCCAGTCTAAGAGGGCTAGTTCTGCCCTAGGACTTTATACTATGCCTACACCAGCGAGGCCCCGAGAAGCCGCATCAGGGATTCCAGAAACTCGAAGCGTAAACCTTGTTGTGTCTATCTTCACTAGGTGAGATCAAATTGATGACTTTATTCGGATCTTGTATGCGCGTTTCGGAGACGCAGCATACATCGATGGCGCGAGATTCCAATTTCCTAGCTAAGGAAGCCTGTTACCCTATTTGACTGAAATGTCCGGACATTTAAAGCTCCAACAAGTAGTCTAGAACGGAGTTTCAGGAGACCAGGAATAACTTCGTGTACTCGCATCGTTTGCATTAGCGGTGCATTCAGATAAAAAAATGTGAGTAGAGTTAGTCGCACTGGGGCGTTTTCTGAATCTAAACAAGTGCTCCAAAATGACCGGCAGTCTTCTATACTTTTAATTTAATCTAAGTAATTAGTTATATTTGGCAAGTTGAAAAATTATTGGGACGTTCATATCGCTACGCTATAATTCATAATGAAAGTTTGGTTAAGTGTTTCATTTTCCGTGAATGCTTTTTCTTATAAGTCTGGTTACATTTTACTCATAATAATGTACCTGAGTCTAACTGCCTTAGGGGTTCAGCATGTGTTATTTTCTGAAAGTCATCTGTTTGGTCTTTGAATGACATTTGTATCTATTCCGTATAAACTAAACATCAGATTAGAATCCATAATAAGGTGCTCTTTAGTTCAATCTTTTCTATCTAACCAACTCTGTTTATGTAAATATATTTCATCTACATTATATAATCATTCTGTATCACGATCTCGAATTTTATTCCATATTGTAGGAACAGACCATTAATTCTTAACTAAATGTCAGACACAGCGTCTGAGTATGCATGTTATATTCTGAATAAGTATTTTGGTGAAGCTGCCACAGTGAGCACACATATTCTGTGTGTTAAAGGTGCGTCAAGTTTGTTGGAAATTTTAAAGGATTCCCATAAGAAGTTACACCCTAGCCGAGTTTGCAAGTTAGTCCTACCGTGTTCATAATTATTAATAATTGCATTTTAGATGTCTTATTTCACTTACTAGACATTCCGTTCTAACTATAAGGAAAGATTTGATGTTAAAATACAGTTTGAATTATGAACGAATATTTTTTGTACCAAGGTAATGATGATATTACTGGTTTACGCACATGATTTTCTGCATTTAGACTTCCATTGTTTTGCAAACTTGTGTTTCACTATTATGGCAAAGTTGCTGAACAGGCTATGATTTATTTCTCTATGGTTGGACGCGGGTCTCTAGGTGACCTGTTTGTGTATTGTGTTAAAAAACATTTGGATCGTAAACGTAATTTGTTTATTTTTTGACACAATCTTTTATAAAGTCCCTGTAGAAGAACAACACAGCTATGTTGAAGCTTTAGGAACCACTGTAACTACTCTTGTTAAGACCAATGTCCTTCAAATTGTAAATCCGAAACTTTGGTTAGATGATCCTAACAAAGAAACTACTGCTTCAAATGTATCTTCCCGAACAACTGATACACCTGTAAATGTGGCTGGTTCGGAGTCTGAAATAAAAATACCAAAAGAGGATATATGTGGTTAGTTATCTGAACTATCCTAATTCACTTTCTTGCTTATTATACAGTTTGTCATGTCGGAAGTAGTATTCATTAACTTTTGTCTGTACATTTCCTCGTCAGTTGTATGAGAGTCCCATCACAACATTTACTACTTATATCATTTCGGTTAGAGGACTATTTCATCTATTAGAAATTTTCTAAATATTGTCCGTCCAAATACTTTTTGACTTTTCAGATTTTTAATCGTTCCCTTATTCAAATGTAAGCACACACGTGACCAAAATAATGCTCAGTCAAAACGAATTACATTTGTAGGAAAGTTTCAACTGCATATAATAGAAAAGTATTTTCGTCATATAAAAAATACCAGCCATTATCTTTAATAATATATTGGTTCGTTATGGTTAATTGTGCTATAAGTAACTGGGGTCTTAGTAAAATAATATATCTAACCAGATTACTGTGTTCAGCAGGAATAATATAGGAAGAAATTCTGATTTCTACACAATTCACTAGCCCAGTCGATTTTGTTGAGAAACTGTATGTATAACCTATTTGTTATCAAGTATTTAGGAAGCCAACAAAACAATACTTATGCTGATGTTTATAGCTTCATTAATTCATACCGGGAAATCTATTCACTAGTTTTTTCCACTTGCTCTTATTTCATATAAAGCCATATTCATTTCACAGGGGATGAATTGTATATTGTTGAAAAATTTGTCAGATTAATCATGATACCACTTGAAAATGAACTTATGCTTAGTTTTTTATCGTTGTTTTAGGATATTCCCAATCTAAGGTATTAAACGGTTGCATAGTTTCAACACTTAATATTTCCTTCACTTATCACCTTTCAACAGGATCAATCTTTGTCAAAATCCTATTAATCGTTTTGATTTTGACTTGGCTGTATAAAGATTATTTTGGTGCTTACATAATGGATTGTGATCAGTGGTGTTACGAAAACCTAACTTGACAGTATATTCCTGTTCACACTTTCCAGGGTATCATAATAGTCATTTTAATTCTCTACTTATTCAAGTACTTTTTTAGTTGGATGGCTGAAGGTAACAAACAGAAAACTGAAGTCTAAGGTCTACTTGTTTACATATATCAGTAATCTGTGTCTATGCCTTCAAGGAATCTCATATTTCCAAACAATTCGGCTCAATCCATTCAGCGTCACAACTAAAAACATTATTAAACACAGTCACAGCATTGTTTTTCTCTAGGTTTAATATACGTTTTTGCTGATTATTGTTATCGCAGATGAAACTTTCTTGAATTTACCTTCAAGCACAATACAGATTAAATTCTTAAGATATCGATTCACAGCTGATAAGCCACATTGTAGACATAATTAACGATGTCCAATCAATGCTAAAAAGGAGTAGATAGTATGTTATATTACTATTCGATTAGTGATAAACATATTATTGTTGTTAAATAGAATTTATTTATTTCTAATTTAGAGGCGTTACATAATTATATTTCCAGTGGATTCGTTAACTGGCCTATTACAAACGAAAGAACTAGTGAACCAGTACGTAAACGTGCAAAACGTCATGATGAATCATCCGAGGTGATTTTAATAATTTTTCTGTAATGATTTTTTCAATTTAATCCACTTTATACTTTATTTACCAGAAGACTCGATTGTTAACTTGGAGTATGCCGATGGCATAGTTCTATTTGGTGAAGACGCTGACTAAATGCAGTCTTCTGAACATCTTAAGCAACAATGCGAGCTTGTTCGGGGTTCGGTTTCTCCATCAAAATGCAAAATGTAGCTTCAGGACTGGCTGGCGTTAGCAGCTGAACTAGTGATAGGGAGTGAATCAACTAAACGTGTTAGTCTATCCATTTGCCAAAATAATCTATGACTTATTAAATAATTTGAGTGAGAAGTTATACAGAAGACGTTAAACTGAGAATTATTTTCATGAAATTTTCAACGGTAGAAATTAAAGCTTGAACATAAATATCGGGCAAAACCTTCTTATTTATTGATAATTTCAGCTGTTACAGGTCTTTTACTGATTGCAAACCTGTTTTTCAAGTGGCTTTTTTTAGTTAATTTTCTTTCATTTTGTAGTTTTTATTCATTAGATTGATCTCCATAAGAGTACCATTAAAATCTAGGGGATTATAAACAAGCTGATTCCTATTAGTATGATACTACTCAGCAATTCGCTCTCATAACCACCCCGTCAAGAATCGAACCCAGGTTCTCTCTGGTAATAATGGTTCCTCGAATTGACATCGATTTTAATAAATACAACCTACAAATTAAACCAATCTCTTCAAACCGTTTCAATTAATCGTTTTTTTCTTTAGAAAAAAAAATAGAATGATGTCTTGTTTTAATTTTCTTCACTCCAGTTAGTTAAATCCCTGAAATTGGTAGTCTGTCCAAATATTCAAACATTGGAGACAATGTGGAGAGATCGATTAATATGTCAATTGGCAAGTGAAAAACTTGGTGAGGTAAGCATTTTTTTGTTTATATGTTATTCCACTAGTAGATATATAAAGAATCGTTCATCTTTGTTTTTTTTAATTGAAAGAGGCGGATGAAGTGTTTATACATCATTTCTTCTTATTTTATAATTTAGATATGTGGTGATATTCTGTCACATTTATTATGTATTGCTACAGCGGCCAATAGGGGTACAGGAATTAACTCACCAGAATCAGGAGCTGTTTCACGTTCAGAGGTTGGTTTCCTTATATTAATCAATATGCCTTTTTTCATCATTGTTTCAGATTGTTAACAACCATTGATATAATCGCTTTCATAGTTTCTTATTTCTATATAGGGTTTCATGAATTTCATTCTTTCATAAGTAAACAGTACAATTAGAAGTATGGAAGAGAACAATGCAAATTTATTGTTGATTATTTCTAGTTGAAACTACTTAACCATTATTATACCAGAACCACATGACTTCGTCATTTGCTTTTAAACTAGGCAGCAAGTATGATAAAGTATGCCGTAAGCTTATTCATCACAAATAAGGATTTATTTTAGTCTTTTCTTTTTCTCTATTTTATTTATGCTGACAGCTTTTGCGAAGTATGCGAACTGTACCAGATCATATAGCTTCGTATATATCCTTACTGATAGATGATGAGGTAATTATGGTGTGCGTTTTGGTTGTAATTAAGTGTAAACACTTTGTGTGAAATTCCAGTAATATTTCAAATATCTACCATCAACTTTTGCATGTAATTTTAATCTTTCACATATTGTTTGAAAATAAAAATTTTGTTATATAATGCTGTAGTACAAGCGTCATAACCGCCTATTTCTAGCAAACATTAATTTTAGGCATAAGGAAAAACATCTTTTGACCTGGCAACCACCGAAGTCGTCTCAACTTTGGACGCAACTAGATCATATCGCCATCAGCCACGGACGAAGGGGTTCGATAGAGGACTGTCGCTCGTTCTGGGGCACATGTTTAGATTCAGATCATGCCCTAGTGCGAGCGCGTATTTGTTTGCGTCTTACTAGATTGTAGGAAAGACACCGTCAGGAAGCCTCTTAAGGCTTTATTTAATGATAATCAAGCTAAGAAAATATTTCAGGAGGCACTAAAAAGAGAGTTAGGCGACCATGCAAGTGATTCCCATCCGGAGGCAGGTTGAAATGATATCAAAAAGGCTGTGGAAACAGCAGTGATATCTGCTAGCAAGGTAAACCATAAGTCTAGGAAGAAGCCGTGGATCTCAGTAGCATCCACCGAAACTGATGGATGCTCGAAAACGCATCCCACCTGACTCTGAACATGATGAAGAACGAAGTCGACTTAGGCGCAGACTGATAAAAAGCCTACGTAACGACCGCGAACAGTGGTGGGTGGCGAAAGCAAAAGCGATGGAAAAGGCAGCGGCGATAGGCAACACTAGACAACTTTTCCTCCTTATTAAAGCAACCGGTATTAGGAATCATAGTGTAAGTGAGACTATCTCGGAAAAAGATGGTCTTATTATCCATTCTCAATCCAGGAGATTGTACCGATGGGCAGAACGTTTCAGGGACCAGTTTAACTGGTCTTCAGCCCCACTTCGGTTGCCTACGATCCCCAGTCATCCTGAATGGAAAAATCGATTTAAGTCCTCCCAGTCTACATGAAGTTGAGAAAGCTATAGGAAATCTAAAGGGAGGTAGAGCGGCAGGTCCTGATATGCTCACCCCTGAGATGTTTAAGGATGGTGGTCCAGTTTTAACAGTTAGACTGACCGAGATCTTAGGTAGGATCTGGGAACTGGACGTAATCCCATCTGACTGGTCTCAATCACTGATTGTCCCAATCTACAAGAAAGGACAGAAGTCCTCTTGTGACAATCGCAGGGGAATAAGTCTAACTAATATAGTTTCTAAATTGTTAGCCTCGATTGTACTTAGACGTCTAACTAGAGCTCGTGAAGAGCAGACTCGAGAAAACCAGTCTGGTTTTCGAACTGGACGTAGTTGTATAGACCACATTTTCACACTACAACAGGTCCTGGGACACAGACACACACTTAGACGTCCGACAATAGTTATCTTCCTGGACCTAAAAGTGGCATTTGACTCAGTAGATCGTGAGGTTCTGTGGCAGTGTCTGACTACCATAAGCAACAATGCGAGCATTTTCGGGATGCGGTTTCCCCGCCCCCCGAAATGCGAAATGTTGTTTCAAGACTGGGTTGCGTCGGCACCCGAACTAGTGATAGGGAGTGGAGCAGTCGGGCGTGTTGATCGCTTCACCTATCTGGGGAGTCTCATCAGTGCTGATGGCCTGGTGACTGACGAAATCTCAGCTCGGATACAGAAAGCTCGATTTGCTTTTGCCAATTTACGTCATTCATGGCGTAGGCGAGATATCCGTTCGCTAACCAAAGGACGGGTGTACTGCGCGGTAGTTCGCTTCGTTCTCCTATATGGATGCGAAACATGGCCGTTAAGAGTAGAAGATATTCGTACGTTATTAGTGTTCGATCACAAATGTTTTAGATGCATTGCTCGTGTATCGTGGGACACCCGAGTAAGCAATGCTACCGTTAGGAAACGAGTACTAGGTAAGGATAGCAGATCGATAGACGAAATATTGAAACTTCATCAGTTGAGGTGGTTGGGACATGTGTTACGTATCCATAACCACCGACTGCCTCGTCGAGCTATATTTTGTGGTGTGGGAGTAGATTGGAAGAAAGCTACGGGCGGCCAGACTAAAACATGGCAGAAATGCATGAAGTCACTGACAAGTGGACTGATTCATGTTGGTAGATGTAGACTGCCTGGTTGGGGTCCGCGAGACGAAAGTAACCGATGGTTAGAGACCTTGAATGACATGGCTCAAAATCGTTTGCAATGGCGCAAGTGCATCCATTCTTTGAGCACTGTCAAGTCCTAACCTTCTGAATTCGTCAGCACCTCTACCTCTGTCTTGCTAACCTTATTTCACTGAGTTATACTTCTTGAATAATATCTTCAAACCCTAGTGTTTCTTCATTACCATTAATACCTCTACTATCTTTATCACTATGGGATTTGATTTGACAATTGCGTCTCTGTGCTAATGTGGTATGGCAACCTGAACTTATGTACATACGTACGAAGTTCTACGTTGCAACTGACTGACTGAGTACAAGCGTTATAATCTCATTGTGTATAAAAGGATTCGTATTGTTTATTTTTAGGGTTTTCGCATTGTTTTTTTGGTGTTCGCTGTACATTTGAAAAGTTCCGGCAGCAAATAAATAGCCAAAACAAATCTTTAAGCTTAAGATTTGCTATATCGTTTTAAAGATTTATACCCATATTAATAATTAATCTTTTGAACTGTGTTTGACTGTTGTGAAGAATAGGTATGAATTTAAATGAGCTTATTAATCTCAGCTGACTGACCTCTAGCAGTTCTTGCAATTATCTCAGTCACATACGAAGTTACTTCACGGAAAACTGAGCAACAACATCTCAAACTGTTGTATGAGTTCGAATCTAACGTTAAACGTTAGCCCCTCTAAGACTCCTCAGACTCTTTGTTGCTAAGTAACAACTGGCACTACATGAATGTGCAGAACATCCTAACAACCATTTTTTCTATTCACTAAAATAAGTGTTAAAATTTTAGAAACATTTGAGTGAAGGTTGTTTTTTTTTCTAATTAGGAATGGTCTACACAAGGACTGTCTTCTTTTCTAGGTCTAACTCATTCTTTGTGGAAAACGAGGTTTCTGATAAGTTCGTCACTTAGTATGCTTGAGGCTATTACGAGTTTACCTTAGTCGATAAACGCGAACGAGACAATAAACCAGCGTCCAGGTAGGCTACCTTGAATCCCCAAAGCGAAAAAAAGGCTTTGTAAGCGTAGACGTTTTTTCTACAAACACCCAGAAATCACAGTACAATCAAGCATACAACTCTCGTTTATTTATACAACATAGGAACGTCCTTGAGACAGTTAAGAAAATAGCATACCAAAATACACAGCAGCCAATCACAGCCATGGATTTTCCTGGTGGGAATTGAAATCTCAAGGTCATCTGATCAGCCCATGCTGGCAAAACGTGAAAACCAAAATACGGCATTGTCAAGCGAATTTTGGGGATCTGACATCCCCAACAGTTTCCTAACTCTTTATTGGCATATTTTAAAGTCTCATTATATTATGATTTGAATTTTTATATTAGTCGTATTCTTTTCATTTTGAAGTTAAAGAGAATGTTTGAGATAATGAGGGAAAATTTGAAGGTTTTCATCGGTAGGTAGGTGTTCGATTTTGTTCCATTCTATGAGGTTGGTTGATGAGGAACGAGTTATTCATAAACTCTTAATTGTTTTAGTAGATAGTATCATATCGATCCATGTTTTCTACCTTCAGAGTTTGTTATTTTCTCAAACATTCATACGAAATTAGTCACTAATTTTGACGTTTTTAGTCATCTACAGTTTAGCTTAAGTTTTCGTTATGTTATCCACTTGCTTTTAAAATTACACATCCAATACAAATCATGCATAACAAACAGCTTTTAACATTAAATAATCGCAAAGCATATCCGTGTATTTTATATTTATATTGTAATTAATTATTTATTTGATAATTCCTTCCATTTTATTTTTAGTTATTAATTTCTAAACATTTCCTATTTTGTTTAGGTGAAATTTATTTTGCAACAACCTGGTCTAGCTGGTTACATGTACACATGTCGTATCCTTATATAATCTGTTAACAATTGAAATGTTTATCAATTCAATTTTTCACCATTACATCATTGCAAGGAGATAAAGTTATCGATATTACTACCAAAACAGTAATTTAATTGTTAAAAGTAGTGTGAAGAATGGAGAAGTGCAGATCAGATGAATAGTACATATTTGGCGAAAACGCAGTCTGTCAACAAAATATGTACACCTTATCTTCTTATATCCATTTGAAAAACATGGAGATTATTGACTGTTTCCTTCTACACATCTTCTGACATTTAAACTACACTGATCACGTTATTCATTTCAATATGCTTGCATTGCTCTCTCTTGTAGCAACTTATTTGCGACGCCAACCTATGTACTACTTTTATACCAACTTATGAGTAGTATCTACCACACTAGTAGAAAAAGTGAATGAATTTGTAAGAAAAAAAATCTATCAATTAATTTTTTAAACTGGTGATTTAAGACAAGATATATAGTGAATGCATCTACGGTGTAACGACCTTTGTTTATCATTTTGCCTTGAAATAAAATGACTCGTATTATACATATTTAGGCGATTGTGTAGAATTATTAATCAGTATTAGCATCCTACTGAAATATTTGTATTTAGTCAATGATTAAGAAATTAATTCATCAATCTAATGTGTAGTGTACACAAGTTCAGTGTTAAGTTATTTTTTATGTCGATGAGAAATGTTGATTTCAGAAAAAGATATAAATTTACTAGTAACATCAGTAGTGGAAATCTTAAATATTTACACATAGATGTGAACAAAACAGAATTTAAACATCACATCACATTCAATTTACAATTTTTTCAAAAACCCTTACAACATATACGACAATTTCCTTAATATTCCATAATTTTAGCTTATAAATTTGTTGTTAAACAATTATTTATCAAAAATGTGGAGTATATCATTCAAGTTCTGTAAGTTGTTTTAATCTTTTTCCTTCTTGTGTGTAAATACTTTCATAGTTTTATTAAATTTAATAATAATTTAAGCTGCTTTTATTTCAATATTGTATTAACTAATTGTTAGAATCATCTTGGTCTTATTACATTAATTCAATAATGTGAATCAACCAATCAACGATGAAAACTTTGATTGTGACCGATTTTGTTTCATGTGTTTTTATGGATATGACGGCGGGTGCTACTTCCCGGGTTCTGGTTGTCAGATGGGGCATCGGCCTCATGACTTCCGAATGAAATCAGCGTCGTCAACCCCAATCCCAACCTTCCTCCTTTATCCGTCTTGGGACCAGCAGTAGCCCTGAAGGTTCTACAGGCGGAGTTCCTAGTCTTTTCCATTATTGCTAATACTTCTTCTATCTCTACAACTATGGGATTTGAACTGACTATCGCGTCTCTGTGCTGATCGGGTATGACAACCTGAACTGATGTACTTACGTACGAGATTCTACGTTGTAACTAACTGACTGATACGTGGTTATCACTATAACGCATGTATAAGCCCGAACCAAAATGTTTCTACTAAAATCTCATGGTGAAATTATATGAATCCGAGGTTGAGCCTACATTTAAATATTTCTTACTCTTGTTGATGTCTTGTAATAATAGGTCTAACGTTGTCTATAACTGATTTCGTACCTACTATATATTGAGGTTCGTTTCCTTCTTGTTTTTTATTTTAAAATGTAGCTTTGAAAGTAATGGATTACGTGTTTTCCGATATCTTCTGCTTGCTGGGCCTTCAAATTTAGAAGAGGTAAATGAGCACTGGTTTCGATGTCTAACTTTCCAGCAGTTTTGACAAGTATTTGTTTTCAGTTTGTTTTGCTTCGTAATAAAAAGTGTTATTTTAGTAACTACCTTTTTTCGTAAAATAATTAGTACATGCCCATAAAATATCATGTTTATACTTGTTTTGAAAGATTGTAGTCCATTATTATCGTCTTGACAGATTTCATGTCCCAATTATTGGTTAGGCGCCTTACATTAACAACAGTTGTGGTCATAATGGTGAAACTTTTCATACACGCATCAAAATGTAATTATTACAGTGAGATTCGTTTTCATTTAAACAGCACATAGTAAAACAACATTCACCTTTCTTGAACAATATCTCTCTGGACAAATTGATGTACAGAGTAAAGTAGAGTACTTCCAAAAGGCATTAAATGAACTGTTAGTGTGAACCTGTAACGTATATCGTACTAGATACCCAATAATAATCTCTATATTTTTCTAAATAGATTGGAATACTAAAATATTAATATTTCAATTGGGTTTGCGTTTCATTAAAAAAGGAATATACCTTGTGAGATCAAGTGGTTTCTATCAGCATCAAAGTATCCTTAATATAACATTAGTGACTGCCAAAGGATCGATTAATGTGTGTGTATGCTTTGATGATTGATTATTCTTAACAGGATATTTTTATTCCGGTATAAACTGGCTGAATCTATATTTCCATTACAGAGTTGTGAAGATTGTTGAGTTTCATTGAAATTATAAGTCGTTCATTGTTAGATCACCATTAAGAACCTGGAAGCACTGGACAGTCTTTTCGTCCTAGTTTGGGACTCATCGGCAGTACGCATCCACAACCCCTACTCGTGGGAATCGAACCTAGGACCTTCGGTCTCGTACGCTCACGCTTAAACTCTAGATCACTGAGCCAGCTTCCAACGATGCTAGTGTCTAACTTAATCTACGATATTGCGGGACCTAATCCATTGTATTTGCTGGGTGACTGCCTACGTCTGACAGGGTTGAACTCGACTGGTTGCGGCTTCGCACTAGGACTCTGAGAATCTCCTCACGAAGCTAGCCACTAAAGAGTGCATTTTATGATTTTCATTATAGATTTGTTTCAACGTAAAGCTTTCGCGCGCATGAACAAATGCCCTGAGTTCGATTCCCGTGAGCGGGGTTCGTGGACTCATACCGCTGATGAGTCCCATACTAGGACAAAACGGCTGTCCAATGATTCCAGGTTTTTAATGGTGATCTAATAATGGTCGATTAATGATTTTAAGGAACGTATATTGGAGGTGAAACAGTATCTTAATTGCTACAGCTAAATCGTTCCTTATTGATTAATTTACTCATAGTGTTCGTATTTCTTAATCACATTTCTGTGAGAGAGAAAGTTTCCTAACTCATTGGCTGCATTGCAATTACATAGCATAAAATTTCACTCAGATTTTATCTGGTTAATTGTTTTCTGCTAGTTTTTTAAACTCTAAATTAACCGAATTATTGTGTTTTCTAATCTCTATTTCGAATTTTTTCTTTCGATGCAACTTCTTGGAAATCGTCCCCACACATCGATTGTTGATTTAAAATTTTAGTTTTTCCTAATTGAATTGACTACATTATCATAGTTTTGTTTTAGGTAAATTCTTTTTTCATCTTGTTGTTCGTAGATTGAACGAAAAGTGTTGCTTCCTCAAAGTGATTTTCGACGAATACTACCACGTATGGTATCTATGGGACTTATTACAACAACTGTAAGTCTGATAATTTATATTTTAATATAAATATATGTTGTTGTAAAATGTTGTCTAATGGTTTTACTAATATTATGGGTGTTTTGTTCTATGAGTTGTATAGTATAATCGTTAAGCTTTCATTGCTTCAATAAAAAGAGAGTAATTAGAATTTCTCCACAATTACCTAGCTGCTTGTTCTGTTGATCTAAAATTTTGATAGATTGATTAATGTGCAACGGTTGTTTGCATGTTTGCTTTAATGGTTTCCAACTGTGACTTGATCTGTGACTTTGAAATCGTTTATCCTTTCCGCTGTCGGTTTAATAGATCGGATCATTTTCGTCATGTCTATCGGTCAATGCGTTACTAGTTCCATTCTCCCGAGAAATCTCTGCCGGTATACTCTCTTCCGTATTTTGTTGATTTTCCAACTAAAATTATGTCATTAGTTGAGCACTGATATTAGCTATGCAATGTCGCGGCGGTTAACCACTAGTCGATGTTCATGTAGACGTAGTCGAAGCTAGCAGCCACTTTGACTTATGTATTGCTTCTTATAGTTGTTTCAATTGATTTTGTAGATGATATTCGGTCTCTCTGTATTGGTCGTTCTTTGTTGTTTGGCCTGCATAATGTTCATATTAACCCAAAACTTAAATCTTTCGTGGGAGATGATTTATTAGAAACCCTTGAATTGACCCGTTAATCTAGCATTTATTATATGTGAATGAGTTTGCTTTGTCTTTGGAATTAGGGTAAAAAAATTCACTTAATATTGGAATGACAAAGAATCAATGAGAATAATGTAGGATGCTGTCAGATTATTTTTGAATTCCAGTGGTGGAAAAATACACTGAAATTTTTAAATAAGACAACCAAATATTAACAGCCTTGTAAAGTATGACGAAAATCGATCACAACTATTATTACTACTATTATTATTACTATTATTCTGCAGGACAGTAACATAGTAACACACTAGTTATTTGAATAACCCATCGATGTGTGTAGTAGTTTTATTGAATACTCATTATATTTTCCACACGTTATGATATACTGTTCAGATTACTAATTTAGTTTTTAAGTAGCTAAAAATGTTCAATGAATAATATTCGTCACATTGTATGTTAATTAGCAATTTGAATTTAATCCATCAAAAAGTGGGTAATATTGGCAAGTTGGCAGATGTATGTACTCCTAATGAGTCTTATACCAGAAAGGAAACACAATGTCATGTTTTCCTAGTTTCTAATGGATGATTAAATAAGTTCAGTACTTGATGTAGATAAAACAAAAACTAAGAAGATAGTCCGATTGAATGTGATAGCTCTCAAGTTGATAAAAAAAACTGCTGTGTAATTAATCGATTTAAGGAATTAGCTACAATCCATTCTTAATTATCAATTTATTGTACTAAATCGTTTTTAGATATTAAGATAATTTAGTGAAGATATTTAGCCTATTGAGTGGTTTCAAATCAAAACAGAACAAAGGTTAAATTCTCAGTGATTTTCAATAATTTTTAAATTAGTTTTTGTTCTTGATATAAATTATTTTCAAAGACAATTGACTTGTTGTATTTTGAAAAAAATTCATTAAATATACTAGGAATTATCGCGAACGAAGGAATATACAGCAGATACTATCTTTTGTTTGTATTCGATTAACTTATTGCAAGTTGCTCGATTAGTAATTGAACTTTCACAACATGAGGTTTATCGCATCTCGTTACGTCGTGATTATGAATTTTCACAGAAAAGGTAATGTTGCTTAGTTTGTTTCTTTATGTCTATTTTTAACCATGTCATATCATTTTACTGACTTTCATCAAACTTTAGGTATTCGACAATATTTCTATCTGAAAGAAGCTCAAGTTATCGAATATATATGTTTATATGTTTTCGTACAGTGTATTATGGGAAGAATCCACTCTGCCTCTTGAAATATTTTCAAATGATCACTTCTAGGGCAATTCTACCCACTGCCTTCTGGTGGTAATGGGTTTTGTTCAGGAAATTTAGAGAATGGAAAGGAGGCATCTTGCGCTTAAAACCCGTTATTGGGTGCGAAGGTTCTCCGTATGGGAGTTGAAAAATCTGACTCCAAATCACTGATGTACATAGACTCCAGGTTCCCTGAGAGAAAATTTTTTATACGAACCTACTATTAGTCATCACCTACCATGAGACTGGATCTCTTAACATTACTGCACTTCGTGAAATACACTTCTAGGTCTAATACTTGGGAAATGGATTTCTAAGAAATCCATCTTTGGTTTAGTCAGTTGGTAAGTATCCTATCCTATATAAAAATTTGGTGGTTTGTTTGGCACCTGTATATACTGTGGTGACCTTTTTACCAGTGTTTACGTGCTTTTAAATATATTTATACATACATATTTGCATTTTCAGTCGTTTAATCGAACAACGTTACCGTATTGAATCACTTATTCTGCAACATCAAGCTAAGCTGAGTGAATATAACGAATCATCATCTGCTGTATCGCCTAATGATTCGAACGATTCTGAATCACAACACAAAGAAAGTGTAGAATCTTTGAAATCGTCTATCACACCTGCTGAACTGCATCAATTAACAGTTTTATCAAATAAATTATCAAAGTAAGGATTGTTTTCGAATTTGTTCACATTGATATTGTTTATTGTTATCTGTTGTATTATTTGATTGAAGATTTTTCTTCTCAGTCAGTCAGCCAGCAACAACGTAGAACTTCGTACGTACGTACATCAGTTTAAGTTGCCATACCACATAAACACAGAGACGCAATGGTCGGTTTAAACCCCATATTAGTAGAGGTTGTAGCAGTATTAGCGGTAATGGGTAAGATTAGGTTTGGAAGATACTATCCAAGAAGTATATCCTAGTGGAATGAATCTAAAAAGAGAGGAAAATGGTCATGGGGTATTCAGAAGAGAATTTTGGGAGAATACAAAGAGTGGATGCACCTGTGTCATTTCAAACGATTTTGAACCATGTCATTCACGGGCTCTAACCATCGATTACTATCATCTCGTGGACCCTAACCTGATAGTCTACATCTACGAACAAATTCATACATTCATTTGTTATATTGGATTCGAATTTTGCTTCATTTTTTTTAGGTTAATCAGCTGTGAGTACAAGTGTCATACTGCATGGTTCGTAGCTGATCTTTTCCTTCGTTTACATTCCTAATGAGATCGCATGTAAAAATATATTTTCTCTAATTGTATGTAAATAGTTTCCATGCTAATTTACTCAAAGCTTCCTAATGCATTGAATATGAACAGATTTTGTGAATTTTTTCAGAATCTCAACATATGTATTACGATTTGAGGAAACGACTTTCTGGTTTACCATTACTTTTGTAACAAATAAATCATGTTTATTCGAATAAAGTATTGCACTGAAAATATACGGTCCCCTTTTTTATCTATAAACCCAGTCGAATAAAAATAGCTTTGTCTATGGCGTTTAATGTTTACATTGACCGCTTAAAATTCTAGACTTCATTTTGAAACGTGAATTCGGTAAACAAAGACATCAAAAGCGTTTAAAATAGCTTAAATTCGAGTTTTCTATGGACGGCAATTCAATCAACCTTGAGTCAGATTTATGCTACTTTAAATTTGGTAACAGAAATATGAGCTCGTTACTGAGTTCTCCTTAAAAGCATATCTTTTGAGACTGGAGAATTTCGTTATTAATTGATAAGTGATTGCTAATTGTGCAAATACGTTAGGGCTCTTTTATTTAAATGATTTCTCGCGATATACAAGTATAAAATTACCAAGGTTTATTGATCTCAATAATAGATTCATTTATTGGTAACAATCTATGGTCAGATTAAAATTTATCGAACATATAAGTAAATAAATAGTCTGTTCTTAGTGTGAAAATGTCGAAGTGTATGGTGGTTTTCTCACAATTTCCGGTGACTAGAAATTCATATTGAGTGTTGTGCAGTAAAGGACTTGGTTTTTCTGCATTTGTTGTATGAAACATATTTTTATCAAGGGTTAGTAACTTTTTTGGTGACTTATGATCATTCAGTGAATGAAAAGCTTGGTGAAAATAATTGTTTCTACGATATACCTTTCATCACTGTTAGTTTTGAAAATTGAATCGTTTGTAATGATCTGCGTATTTCAGGTATTTTATTTACGTTTAGCGTAGGTATTAAAGTGCTTTCACTTGAATCTGAACCCGACCGTAGCTTCCATCTTGACGTGGTGGTCAAGCTTGCCTATCGTGATGAACCAACCGAGCTATATTGGCTGGAACATATGTTCCTGAAGGTTCTATTATGCCAGGCAGGTCGATTGGAGAACGATGAGACTAAAAGCAGCAAACCAAGGTCTGAGGTACTGTCGTACTGCTGACTGCAGAGGGGTGTGACAGCAGTAAGGTGTTTCCGTTCGACAACCAGCATCTGCAGCGATGCTGCTTTCTCACAAGGAAGGAAGGGTTAGAAAAGGTAGACCCTAAAAATGTCATACACTCTACCTCACGGATTTCCGTCTCCTTGGGTAAGGGTGCCCACTAAGGGCTTTCAAGAGCGGAGCTAATACTCAAGAAACTTCTCATAAAAAGGCCGTGCGCGACCGGCCTCAAGCAGTTGTCCGTCGGGCTCTGTGGTCACGCTCTCAGGTCGTTAAGATCAACGCTAATCCACTTTCTTTTCTAGGTTCCTCAAGAAAGACCCTTGCACGATGTGGGCAGCCGGGAAGTGACAACCGCCCTCATACCCGTAACAGCACACGAGACCAAATTGGTCAAAATCAAATCCTTCTTACACCCCCTATTTTCTCTCTTATCTCCACGACTAACTCTACTCACATTCCTTTACCACACTACACCGATAATGCAAACGATGGGAGTTCACGAAAAGTTATTCCTGGTCTCCTGAAACCTCGTTGTAGACTACATTTTGGAGCATTTAGTGTACATACATTGTGTCTAATAGGGCCACAGGCTTCCTTAGCTGGGACATTGGAATCTCGCGCCATTGATGTATGCGTCACTCAGTTGACCTCTCCATGTCACGATAAAGAAGCAACTCGTTTCACTCATCGCGTATATGGAAGCCTTGATACTGCTTCTTGGAGTCTCGCCGGCGTAGGTATAGCATTAAGTCCTAGGGCATAACTATCTCTACTAGACTGGATCCCAGTAGATAGTTGCTTGTACGCTGTCCGACTGAGCGGGACAGTAAGGACTAGGAAATAAAGGGACACTCGCCGTCGCCTCTTCGTCTTATCTGCCTACGCTCCTACTGACTGCAGTTCAGACGAGATTGAAGATGAGTTTTACAGAAAGTTTTCGGGCCTCCTCCAAAAGGCTAGGTTCTCATATATAGTAATAATGGCTGGTGAATTAAATGCTCAGTTAGGTAGAGTAGGTGAAAAGGAAAGACACGTAGGTGGATGTTATGGTGTAGCGACTGAGAGAACAGGTAATGACGACCGTTTTCTGCAACTGTGCTCAGATAACCGCTTATTTCTCGCAAACACTAACTTTAGGCATAAGGAAAAGCATCTTTTAACCTGGCGACCCCCAAGTCGTCTCAACGTTGGACCCAACTAGATCACACCGCCATCAGCCACAGATGGAGAGGTTCGACAGAGGACTGTCGCCCGTTTTGGGGCACATGTTCAGATTCAGATCATGCATTAGTGCGAGCGCGTATTTGTTTGAGGCTTACTGGGAAGACACATAAAGGAAATCTCTTGGGGTTCTATTTAATGATAATAAAGCTAAGAATATATTTCAGGAACATATAGAAAAACGGTTAGGCGACCGTTTAAGTGATTCCCATTTGGAGGCAGGTTAGAGTGATATCGAAAAGGCTGTGGAAACAGCAGTGATATCTGCTAGCAAGGTAAACCACAAGTCTTGGAAGAAGCCATGGATCTCAGTAGCGTCTACCGGACTGATGGGTGCTCGAAAACTCATCCCGCCTGTCTCTAAGTGCGATGAAGAGCGTAGTCAGCTTAGGCGCAGGCTGATAAAAAGCTGACGCAATGATCGAGAACAGTGGTGAGTAACGAAATTAAAGGCGGTAGAAAAGGCAGCGGTGATAGGCAACAGCAGACAGTTGTTCCGACTTGTCAAGGAAACCGGTATTAGAAATTCATCTGTTAGCGGAACTATCTCAGGGAAGGATGGTTGTATCATTCATTCTCAATCCAGGATATTGGACCGATGGGCAGAACATTTCAGGGATCAGTTCAACTGGCCTTTAGCCACACTTCGGTCGCCCACGATCTCCAGTCATCCTGAATGGCAAGTCGACGTAAGTCCTCCGTATCTATATGAAGTTGAGAAAGCTATAGGAAATCTGAAGCAAGGGTGAGCAGCAGGACCTGATAGGTTGACTTCTGAGATTTTTAAGGATGATGGCCCAGTTTTAGCAGCTAGGTTGACCGTGATCTTAGGTAGAATCTGGGAACTGGACATAATCCCATCCGAGTGGTCTCAATCATTGATTGTCCCTATTCATAAGAAAGGGTAAAGTTCTCTTATGACAATCACAGAGCAATCAGTCTAACTAATACAGTATCGAAAATATTGGCTTCAGTAATGCTCTGACGCTTATCAAAAGCTCGTGAACAGCAGACTAGAGAGAATCATGCATGTTTTCGACGTGGACATGGATGTATAGATCGAATATTCACATTACGTCAGATCCTAGAACAAAGACACATGTAAAGACGCCTAACAGTAGTAATTTTTCTCCACCCTAGAGCGGCATTTGACTCTTTGGATCGTGGGGTTCTGTGGCAGTGTCTGTCATTAAAAGGTGTACCAGAGAAGTACATTGACTTTATACATGCTCTCTACTCGAACACTACTGGTCGAGTAAGAGCTTATGGTAAACTGTTATCAGAATTAGTTACTTCAAGTTGTGTACGTCAGTGCTGTCCAATCTCTCCATTCTTGTTTGACTTTGTCGTAAATATGCTATAGTGGCTAACACTCATCGTCTGACTTTTCAGGAGTGGACCTCTTACCAGGAGACAGGGTTTTAACTTGGAGTATATTCATTACATAGTCCTGACAAAATGCATAGTCTTCTGACTACCCTGAGCAACAATACAAGCATGTTCGGGATGCGATTTTCCCCCTCGAAATGCAAAATGTTGCTTCAAGATTGGGTTGCGTCGGTACCTGAACTAATGATAGGGAGTGAAGTGGTTGAACTTATCTGGGGAGTCCAATCAGTGCTGATGGCCTTGTGACTGACGAAATCTCATCACGGATACAGAAGGCTCGATTGGGTTTTTCGAACCTGCCTCACTTATGGCGAAGGCGAGTTATCCGTTTGCTGACCAAAGGAAGAGTGTACAGTGCAGCAGTTCGCTCCGTCCTACTTTATGGCTGTGAAACATGGCCAATGAGAGTAGAAGATATTCGTAGGGTACTGGTTTTCGATCATAGGTGTCTTTGAAGCATTTCTTGTATATCCTGGGACACCCGAGTGAGCAACACTATTATTAGGAAACGGGTGCTAAGTGAGGATGTCAGATCAATTGATGAAGTATTGAAACGTCATCATTTGAGCTGGCTGGTACATGTGTCACGTAGAGCTAACCACCAACCTTCTCGACAAACTAAATTTTGTCATGTAGGAGTAGGCTGGAAGAAAGCTAGATGCGGCCAAACCAAAACATGGCAGAAATCCATGAATTCACTGACAAGTGGACTGAGTCATGTTGGTAAATGTAGGCTACGTGGTCGGGGTCGGCGAGACGAAAGTCACTGATGGTTAAAGATCCTGGACGATATGGCTCAAAATTGTTTGCAATGGCACAGGTGCATCTACTCGCTGTGTTCTCTTTATGATTGATTTAAATTTCATATCATTATTATTATTATTGCTTTCTGTTTATAGATTTGAACTGACAGTTGCGTCTCTGTGCCAATGTGGTATGGCAATCTGAACTGATATACTTATATACGAAGTTCTACGTTGTAACTGATTGACAAGGTGAAGTCAAATTTATCACGCTAGTCGGATCCTGTATACGCATCCTGGAGTCGTATCATGCATCATGGCGCGTGATTCTACAGTCGAGGGCAAAGATGCCTAACGTCCTATACGAATTGATGTTCGGACAATAATTGTGATCAGTATATGTCCTTTTTGACTGTCTGTTTACTAAATTAACATAGTCTGATGTAGAACCTTACTCTTGTCAGAATGTGGATCTAAATTATGTTGAGATACCTACAATAGCACTCAAAATAAGAATTATTTGAATTGTGACTCTGAAATTCATATTTAAAAACCTTTTTAATTTTTAATGGTTTGCATTATTCCGTTTTCGATATTTTTGCTAAAATGTGAAGAGTGTTGGTTAGTGTATCTTTATTTTGTGTGGATTATTGCTTGAATATATTCATAATTACGAAAAGTTGTATGGTCTAGACAAAATCTTGCTGGTAGTGGATTTGAGGACGCATGTTTGGTTTTTTGGGTCTAACTGAAACCTTCACAAATCAGATTGAATTGTATACCGTTTGCACGAGTAAGTGTATATCGAGACTCAGTAGATAAGTGGATAACGCGTTCAAAGCGAACAATAATAGCTACAAAATACGGTTTATATTGGGGTTCGCAACCAGCATCTGGCTAAGCTTACCAAGAAACACTGCCGCAGGAACACAGAGCAATTTTTAAATCTGCCCAATATACTTAAGGTCGTATGCGGTGCCTGCTTTTCAATGGGCAACAAAAAGTAAAAAGAACCCCAGTGGTAAGGTAAAATATTTCGCAGTTTTGCAGCGACCGAAAATGCTTTTTAAAATATTCATGAAAAAAATAAAATTTAACATCAATTTATTTATAATTTCTTTTCGAGGTACTAAGTTATGCAGATGTTTAAAGAGCTAAGCGCCATATCACTTTGCGGACTAGTTGTTTGTGATCGTTCACAGCTGAACCCCAAAACTTTCCGAAAACAATTCTACAGCTTCATACATTGAAATTTTTTAGATGGTCTGATATGACTGGTTTGAGCTTTTCATAACATCTGAAGTAATTAGAAGTACTACGCACTTTCCAATTCATTCTAGCGTTCTGACAGACTTTAGTTACAGCATGTGAATTTGAAGATTCTTAACATTCCACATAACTCTGCATTTTCGTGGGAAGTCGTCACCTTCGACACACATACGTCATGGGTTCATAATTCTACAGCATCTACAAACTTTTCAGTTTATCTGTCTGATAGAAACAACATATAAGAACGCTGTGACGGATAAGAAGCTAATGATTCGAAATTAAATATTAAGAATACTACAACTGATCGGGGATGGAGCACAGGGGCGTGACCTTCTATGGTTTGTAGGAGTAAGGGAATGTATCTACCATTTCGTGAGGCTTGACGAATGGAGTGCGAAATATTCTTAGGCTGGTAATAGTTTCTAAAGTTAGTTTAAATATTAGTTGGAAAAATCTAACAGCCCTAAACACACATCAGGAACTGCTTTCGAACAAGTAAACATAAGCTTCGTGCACTCATCTCAGCAAACCGTAGTTGTTATCTTGAGGAAACTGAGGCTCCCCATGGGATTTTCACCTATGTCACGTAGCTTGACAGTCCAAAAAATCGGTTGAGTTCAAAAAGCACCAAAAACTAGACAAACATAACACTGGTTAACATTCAGTGATTACATTCATTAGAGTAGATCAAACAATATTTTGTCACCGTCAAAGTTTATCATGTTTAGGTTCATGACGTAAGAACCTATTATTGACCACTGGCTACCGTAAGAGTGGATCTCCTAAGTTTGTTCCCCTTGTCCTGTGGATTCGACTTGTTGGTTGAAGGGTCCAGGAGTGGCCCCCTATGAAGCCACCTACTTCCTTTCTGCTAGCAGTCATGTGTCTAAATATGTAAACAAATATGCAGTTTGGAAGGTTAAAAAGAAACAATACAAGTGTTAATATCACTCACTTTGAGACTATGTTGTTGGAAATTTCATACGTTTCAGATTATTTATCCAAATAGTCAATATTTATACACGGTCCGAAATTATTGATCTGAAAATATGAAAATATTATCACGCTACACAAAGATTACAAAACCACAGACATGATAAGAAGAACGATATGCGAGGGCTAAAGAGCAAGTGAATGAACAGGTTGCGCTATAATTTCTGCTCACAAAAACGCAACAATTATGAAAGCTAAATGCTGCAGATAAGTTGGGGTGATGATTGCATAATTGATGTTCTCAGTGGAAGGAGGCGAACAGCAAGAGTAAACGCTGCTTTGCCTTCATGATGGCCTGCAGTGTTTTCCACCTAGTAATCCCAAAATCCAATTCACTTGCTCAGACAACTCCGCCCCATGAAGAAGCAGGTGTTTGGGTATATGTAACATGTTCCAACCACCTTACTTGATAGAAATTCCCTTATTCCAAACATTTTAAATAAAAACACAGAAATGATAATGACTCATAGAGAGCATGGAATAGTGTTACATTCGACACGAATCAAGTGCAGGTTGACGTGCCCGAAGTTGAGCCTCACTGTGTGAAGCCCAAGTGATGATATTCTGTCCAATTATCTAAACTGCCTAAGGTAGGGTTTGAATTAACGACTAATGGTTGAAAGCTAAGCTATTTTATCACTAAACTGATATTCTCACTCGGACCACTATAAGAAATACTCTAATTATGAAGTATTTATCTACAGATATGGTCTAACATAACAATTATTGATTTCACGGTCTGGTGGTATTACCTCACTCATCTGTCCATACAACCTAACTCTATACGGAAGTTTCATTTTGTTAACATACGTCCCTAACACCCTTGAAATACTCACTCATAAATTGAATTTTCATTCTTACATAATAGCCGATATCTGACTACGGCATTACTCTCTCGATGTTCCCAGAATGCAGGAGTCATAATTCGAAGAAACATCTGATCAAACATGTTTCCTACGAATATCCTTTATCCTTAATAGCTATTGTTCACACTTATATAGTAGAACGGTGTTAAGTGTTTTACAGTTAACTTGTCCCTTGAAAATCAGATGTGTATCTCGCTTACGCTACAAGTGACACGATTTGGCAAAAGTAGATAAATAGAATAAGTAGCAGCCTCATATCGAGCCAAAAGAATGAAGGCTAGTGTAACTTTAATATATTTGAGTCCCAAGTTGTTTCGATTTTCGGAGGTGTCACGTCAAAAAGTTATTTCCATTTATGCTTAAACGCAGCGCTTGATAGGAAAAGACGATTGTCTTAGCTCAATTGCAATAAATTGTCTACTTTATCTGTGCTCAGAGTTGGGATTCGTGAGGTTGAGCTTAGAGTCCTTCATTTTCACTAAGTTTATCGACTTGTTTGAAGGAATCACCAGCTAATTTTACCACCTCAAAGCTCTTAGCTTTAAGAAGAATGGTGGAATACTTCTATAACAAATGAACTGGAATTAGTCTGAGTACAGACGAAGACGTCAATCTGATACTTAATTGTTTTCCTGAAGACTGCTTGCGCAACGCTCTTCTGTAATGCGATTTGGAAAAGTTGCTCTCGCTCATAAACCTAAATGCAATTCCTCCAGGAAGGAGGCCTTGACCAGTATGAGTGGTCTCTGAGGAAACTAGAGAGAAACATCTAACCGCTTAGACGTACCCCAAGTCAACCGCTAACTCAGTCCTTACGCTTTCGGTTACCATATGGTAACAACACCATTAATCAGTCAACATGATCGGCCCCAGCGAACATGAATTCCAGAAAACATTGTGAGTATGGGGAAATCCAACTGCTGATGTATCGTAGCAGCTACGACAGGCTTATCTCAATAGGTTCAATATTGTCAGTCTTTTGAGCTAACGGTGCTTATTTTTAATTAATTTCGCCTGTTTACTGGGAAAACGGAACTGCGGAAAAGCACATTAGAAAATTTCTCACAAATATACTAAACATCAAAAGTACTGAAAGGCTTGATAACTCAAATTTACGAGAAATAACACTGTCCACATTCCACTAACTTCCATCATCGGACATTTAGCCCTTGCCTGTTCAGTATTTTTAAAGCTAACTGGTGAGAAGAGTGAAGCAGAAATTATTTCAAAATGATTAAAATCCATCATGCTCAATAATGACCTTGAACCTGTTTGCCTGAAGTAGAAAAACTATTTGCTCAATCGCGCGTCACTTAACTCTGATCATGTGTTACCCTGTTACGTTCCTACTTTCCTAAGTGGTTCCACACATCTGATTGATGGTCCTCCTTTATCCGGGGACTCTGAGTTTGATTTAAAGGATAAAAAAATATGTGCATTTCAGACAACGCGAGACTCAAACATCTAAAAAATTATCAATAAATAAATAAATGCTTGAAAATAATACATATTTAATCTACATTATTAACACATTCAGGATTATTGTGTAACCATCTGAATTTGGTGGCTTTCAATCTGTCTGTCTATCCTTTCCATGGGCTGATCTAATCTTGCCGATAATTTGCCAAATGAATGCAACGAAGTGTGAAGAAGATATTACCAGTAAGTATCGTTCTCAACGATATCGATTTTCTTTTGTTTTCTTTCCTTAAAAAGTGGAAAGTGGACGTATGTCCTATGAATTGTGCTCTCATAAAATATATTCTTGCAAAGATTTTTGAAACAAAACCGAAGCAAAATTCCTAGATGTGTTGTACCTATACAATTAGTTCACCACGCAAAAAGCGCTGATGTTTTTGCTATTTTTGTTTTAATTTAACTGACAACCAACTGTTCTCAAAAAAGTGTGTGCGAATCGCGAGACAAACTGCCTTAAAGTAACTAGAGTTTTCTGTCCTACATATATACAACATTCAGTTGTGAAGTGACTTTTTGACTTTTATTTAACTTTTATTTGTTCTTAGAATAACTATGTTGTACCTTTGTATTTCTAAGTACTAAAATTAAATGAAGTTGAGTAACATCTATGTAAGTATCTAATATCTGCTGATAAATTTGCATGCAAATCCGAAATATCTAATTATTTGTTGTTTACTTCAATTTTCAAGTATTTAAGATACATAGTCGGCCTTTGTTTTGAAGATTCACATATGGAGTTCCACTTCTTTGAGTGAGATATATGGGAAATATATAGTTTTGATATCACACCTCTGACTAGATAATTTAAACGGTTCAGGAATTCGCAGATTCTACCGCACCCCTTCTTTCTGCCGGTCCTCAATTTCTTCATATGTACTTCTTCATTCTGTTTTCAAAATCGTTTTCTTAACTATAGCCTCTCTCATTGATGATTTATTTTGATCTTTCTCGTTGCACATTTTTTCAATCTCATCTCATCAGGCTACTGCGGTGCAAAGATCAACAAATTTCAATCCGTGTTGTTGGTGACTACCTATTTTAGTCTATTTGGTGTAATATGAAAGCAAATATTTTTCGTTCTAAATTTGAATGTAGATGGTTATGCATATTTGCTTGGGATTTAGAATTAGCTGTATTCAACGCCTTTACTTACTTTATTTAGAGACGCACTTGGCAATTAGCATAAAAGCATTAGTAAAACATATTCTGTACGTATTACCAGACAGAAATACTGTACTTGCTGTTTGGAAAATGAGAAGACTTAGTGTCAGTCGTATTTATTTGCTATCATGACCATATCATGAAGTGCGCATAAGTACGTTACCCGCTCTAACACATTCGTGAACAAACCTAAGTGTCTGAACTGTCAGAGAGGTTAGCGTTACTTGAAAGTAGTAGATGTACAGGTGAATGTTTACCATCCATAATTATCATGAATATTTATGTGTTTTAGTAAATTCGATTGCATTTTTTATCAATGCTGTAACTTAGTCTTGGATATTGATATCAAAGTTAAAAGGCTTGTTGACTTTATCCAGGCTACTGAAAAAGTAGTTCATTCAACACTTTCACAGAGGGTGAAAAGGATATGAAAACCTACAAAATAGTATCACAGAAGTGCAGATAAGATCTCATAGGTGTATACATGGTCAGTGTTATAAGTACTAACATCTTTTCACAACTTAAAAATATTCTACAAATTTTGGAGCTGGTTGAGTCATTGCAAATAGCTCGTTGAGTTTCATGCCTTTCATTCTGTTTCATTCAATCAGTTACTAAGGAAACTATAAATGTTTGAGTGTTCCTCACATTACGCAATAACTTCTAAATATAATTGTGATGCTTCCATATCCAAATTTTGAGTTACTCAGCACTTCAAAGCAGTGGTTATGAACAGTTCTATCACAGACAAAAAGTCTCATTGCTTTTTATTGTACATCTTTTCACTTTATTTGATCGTTTTGAACTCAGTTTACTATGTTTAACTGTCCGCAATTATTAGTGTTACCTTGTTAGCTTCTTTGCTATTTATCTTGAATCAATTTTATTGTACTTACTGGAAGAATATAAAGTTGAACTGATACATATGTTCCAGAATTTGCTTTGTTTATAAATAAATTCTAAATAAACGTGGTACCTAGAAATAATATTTTGTATTGGCCTTTATCAGGATATGTATCCTTTCGTGACCATGGTGACATGTTTACGTTTATTTTATTTCAATTGTTTCATAAATAGGCGTTAAAGTAATATGTTGCACAATATGTAGGAAGTAGTGTACAAGTTTATATTAACGATTACATATTACCTAACTATCATATCCATTAAAAAAACTATTAGTTGTAATTTGTTAAGACAACTCTAGACTAATCAGGGTACTAGATATCATTTTTAACTCCTTATTATTATTCCATAAAATAGACGGGCATACAGTCTTGTGGTTTCAAAGGTTTCAATTTACATAACTGCAAGGTTATAAATGCTAGTTCATACATCAAAAATCTTTATTTACACATTTTTATATTAGGCCTAATGAAAATTGTAGATAAATCGCATCTAAATTTGTAATTATTCCTGGTGAAAATGTTAGTTTGAATTTTCTTTCTGACTAACAGAATTCATTTAGATTTATGTAACAAATAATTCTGATATTTCTATTTAAGAGTTTTTCAACGGTTTAATTACAAAATTAACGGACTTGACCGTTCTTAATTAATCTTCGAGTTGAACCTCTAGTCTAGCTACCTCGGTTAAAGATACTATACATTTAATCTCTGGCTCAAAGCAGCAAGGTACACCGATCTGTGTTTTGTAAATGAACTGTGAAATATACAAATGATATAGATGCTAATTTCAATTGGGACTTCACTTAATAATGAATGCAGTCATTTAAAAGACAGTTGAACTCAGATAACAAAGAAAAATAAATCTAAACAACTGAAAAATATAACACAAATTTTGCAGTAGAATTTCAAGTTTTATATATTTTTCATATTTTATGAATATTTATATATGGATTTTAAATTGGACATTTCATTTCGTCTATTAAAACAAAGGAATTGAAACTTTAAACTATATTGCCCACCCTCCATTCTTCATTTCATTCATCTTGTAAAATATGCTATTTTTTTCCAACAAAACTTCTAATTAAATTATGATGTAAATAATAGCGATGCCTAGAATTTATTTTCAATGTGAAGTTATTCAATTGAAAAATATCTATTGCAAATTAACTTTTAGGTGGTGGCATAATATTCTTGATTGGATTGATTTAAATAATTTATATAAGTTTGTATCTATTAAGCAATGATTGTTGAATGAGCATTCCATTTTTGTTGCTCTCTCTCTCTCTCTATAATCACTGTGTGTTTTCACATATGTTGTGTGCGCATGTGCACATTTAGTCTGCCAGCAATTCTTGATGTTTGTTTTTGTTTTGTGTATTCTTCTAATGAAAGAAACACTGATGAGTTGACGTCAGTTTTAGAAATTGACAGTATGTAAAAATTACCATTTATATTGTTTAATAATGATCATGTGATCAGTTTTGCTTTGATAAAATGCTGTCTCTTAAAGAGAAAAAAATCTCTTTCAAATTCTTTGTTTGCTTGTAATATGTAAAGAATTGTTGACGGTTGAATAATAGTTAACTAATGAAAAAGAGTGCCATTTTCAAACAATAGTTTATAGTAGATATCAGCGATGCCTTACTGATTTAGCTTTTTCCAGTTAGCCAGTTATGATGATTGTAAAGTCTTAAAAATTTGTGCTCTAGTCACAGCTAATATTACATTTGAGTATGACAAGATGAATTTAGCGTTATGAATAACTAAAAGGTGAAAAATAATTGTAATAAAATAGATTGTAAGAAAGTTTGCATGCTGTGAATATGATTAGAGAAGACAAAATGCATAGGTATATGTGAAGTAGTACAGGAAATTAAGATCTATCACTACTCTAAACTAGGTTGTTTAAATCTACCGACATAGCTCAGTCAACAAGTTCATAGACTGGTGTCACTTCTTGCTTCGTCTATCTTTGGCTTTTTTTTTCTATTCGTACTTCATCCAAAGTACACCACATGGTAGCCATATTTTTTAGCAACCTCATTCAATGTGGATTCAAATCTTCATCAACTGACTGATCATCTTTGCTTAACAATACTTCATAATTAATTACAACATAGCTCACTAGATCTTTGTACGATATGCTACCAACACTTACAAAACACTTATGACCAAAACCACGTAGTAAATACCTGCCTTCTATTTTACAGACCATACTTCACAAACAGCATGGCTCATTACCGAGTATGTAAACCCGTGAGTAGTAAATGTATATCCAAACCCATTCTAAAATCACTTCATACTACTTTTGGTACAAGACAATGTTTAATTTCCTATTCTATTTTGATACTATTTCCCCCACTATTGCTTCTTATCTTTGTTGATTTCCTTTCACTGTCCTGTCTTGAAATGTGTCAGTTTGAGCTAGTTTACACCCGCTACCCTTCTTGCCATTGATAATGACTTACTGACGGACTTTCCATAATATAATTGTTCAAAACGGTATAGCTTTTACTCATGAAAGTTTGATTTTAAAAAATTTGTTTTAAAATTAGTTTTAATAACTGGTTGTTAGTAATATAAATTGAGCAGGAGCTTAGTGAATAGAGCGTTTCATTCAGTGCCAAGTTCGAACCTCGCTTCATCTACTTTAGTTTAAGCAACCAGGTATTATAATCAGCCCTCAAACTTCAGACTATGTCTCATAATAAAATAACCTTCGGAATGAGATTGTTATAAATAAAAACAATTATCAGTTGTATAAAACGTTATTCATTCTGAATGTATGTGGCTTTTTTGCATTTGTATATTAAAGAAGTAAAAATTTTTAATCTGACGAGTAAAACACCTAACACTTCATTTAAATTTGAACAGTATACTTGTCACTATTTAATTTAGTGTAAGTGCATGCAATTTTATTCATTTGTTTTTCTCTATCTATAACTCATTTTAAATAATTTTTAACGACTGCAAACTTTTCTTACCAAAGAAACACAGACTAAATTGTTTTTATTAATTTGACTCATTTATTTCATTCCTACTTTTCAGCTTTGTATTATTATTAAATTTAAGAAAATCTAAAATAACTTCAAACAGAATAAATCTTACAAAACTTCA